GAGCCGAGAGGAGGAGAATGAGTGTGACGTGTAGCCTGGAGGAGGAGAATGAGTGTGACGTGTAGCCTGGAGGAGGAGAATGAGTGTGACGTGTAGCCTGGAGGAGGAGAATGAGTGTGACGTGTAGCCTGGAGGAGGAGAATGAGTGTGACGTGTAGCCTGGAGGAGGAGAATGAGTGTGACGTGTAGCCTGGAGGAGGAGAATGAGTGTGACGTGTAGCCTGGAGGAGGAGAATGAGTGTGACGTGTAGCCTGGAGGAGGAGAATGAGTGTGACGTGTAGCCTGGAGGAGGAGAATGAGTGTGACGTGTAGCCTGGAGGAGGAGAATGAGTGTGACGTGTAGCCCGGAGGTGGAGAGGCCGTGGTGCCGGAGCAGTGGGCAGGGGCCTGTCTGGGCAGTGGGACCTGGTAGCAGACTCGGAGACAGACGGGAGACAGGGAGACCCCTGGGAGGCAGTGACGCCCCCTGGAGCGTGGGCCTAGGAGGAAGGTTTTCCGTGTTCTCGGGTGTGAGTGAGAAAGGGTGGACCGCAGAGGTCTCTGTGTTCCTGTGCATGTAAACAAGAGACATGGTGATAGAGATGATAGGACACAAAAGCATCCAAGAAAGGAATGAGGAGGCAGCCCAACCCTGATCAGAAACAAGAAGCCATTACCTCCCCCATCCCCCAACCCGCCCGAGGGCCAGGGCACAGTGAGAGGAGGTGCAGAACCCATCTGTGGGAAGTGGAACCCCAGGTGGCTGCCTGGCCAGAGCTGGAGCCAGAGCCGGCTGGAGCACTGAGGAGAAGCAGCCACTGGCCGGAGCCGCCCTTTGAGGCAGAGGGATGGTGACCCTGGCATCTCCCCCGCTCCTGCCCACCGGCTGTGCCAGACCTACCCTGAGGCCAGCGAGCCAGGAGGCCTGGGACAGACAGAGCCTGTGGGAGCGGGAGCACGGGGAAGGCCAGGGAATGGAGCAAAGTGGGGAATGACCCCAGAGAGGATTAAATGCTGTGGGAGACAGCGCCTCAAAGTACTGCTGCTTCTCATTGGCTATGATGATGGACAGAACAGCTCTATTTGAAGAGAAAGCAGGGGTGCTTTTGCTAGGTCATTGGACGTGATGGTGACAGGCCCAGACACAGGGCTGTTCCTTATTGCAGAAGTTTTATGCTCGGGCACGCCGCGGCCTTTCCCATTTGAAATAGAAGCGAATCCAGGGAGAGCTCTTGGTCCAGGTCAGCTCTCTGCCCTGACTGTGACTAAAGGTGATGTTCTTACCTGTTAATACTTCACACACTGAGGCCAACGAGCGTGGGTCCTCCCAGGCTCCCCAGGGTGGGTCTGGGCCAGAGAGAAAGCCCGCTCAGCTGGGTCCACATTCAGCGATGGGCATGGCCATGTGCCCGGTCAGGGGCCCTGGCCGTACAGTGGGGCTTCAGCAACGATCCCGAGGTCACAAGCAGATAAACGAGATGTGGTCGTTCTATACAGTGAGCCACTCCCAGCCTTCACGGGGAAGGAGATTCTGATACACGCTACCGTGTGGATGACCCTGAGGACAACATGCCACGTGACATAAACCGTCACAAAAGGACAGACACTGGGACTCCGCTTCTGTGAGGCCCCTGGAGTCATCAGATCCACAGACAGCAGCAGGGTGGTGGTCGGGGGCTGGCTGGGGAGGAATGGGGTTAGCGTTTCACGGGGACCTATTTCAGGTTTGCGAGATTACAAACGTTCTGGGGATGGTGGTGGGGATGGTTACATGACAGTGTGAGTGTACTTAGTACACTGAACTCTCCTCTTTTTAAAATGGAAACTTTTATGTTATGTCTGTTATTTTACCACAATTTTAAAAAATACTCCAATCAAAGCTACAATGGTTATATAGTTTGAGCCTCAGAAAATCAGGGTGATCACCGAGGCTCCCCCTTACGTTGTGAAATGGTATGTTTCAAAATTGGAAGACAGCATTGCCACCAGTTGCCTGACGTCAAACAAGGCCTTAATCCACCTGTAAACATTATCACTCAAGGCCTCCAGGCCGCCTTCTCCCCCCTCCACCCCACCCATGACAGTTTCAAGATCATCTAAGGTGTGCTTCTTTATCATCGGGTTGTGTGGGGTGGCTTTAATGTGTGTGCTCAGTTCCTTAAGAGCTTGGCTGGTTCATTGATTTTGCCACCAGCATCATCTTCCTGGAGGAGCAGGAGTTGCCTACAGACATCTGTCAGCCTGGAAATATTTCCCTATGACATAGCTCTGCCTTTCGGAATAAAAAGACGCTTTCAGTAAACATGGACCGTGAAGATCACTTTCATCAAACTTGTTCCCGTGCATGTTATTCTGAAATGGAAAGGGGGTGAGGGTGGATAGCCTGTAGTAGAGAGCTCTCCTTTCATCGTTCATTTTCTCAGCGAATTCTTATTAAGCACCTGGGATGTGCCGGAAGCCGTGCTGGGAGAGGGCGATGGGTGACCAAGGTGAGCCACCTCCCGAGGCAGGGACAGAGTCTGCTCTGTCCACTTGGCTAACAACACATTGTGCATTGGAGGGATCTGAGAGACAGCTAATAGCTCATGGAACAAAAGGAGCGCTTGTCCATTTGGGAGGTTCAGACAGGCCAGCAGGTGCAGTGGGACTGATAGAACGCGTGTAGTTGTTGTGGGAGGAGAGCCCGGCCCAGTGGCCGTGAGTGGAGCAGCCAGCCGAGCAGCGGGAGAGCAGTGATCAGCCCTGCGTGTCGGGGTGATCCCTCTGAGCTGGGCGTGGATTAGGTTGGATTCGTGTGGCACGGAGCTCGGGTGAGACGCAGCGGGCAGTGAGGCAGGTCTGGTGCGGCTGAAGGTGGAAAGCAGTGGACTAGAGTTCGAAGGAAAGAGCTGTTTAAGAGGCTGCACTGAGAGGGATCTGAAAGGTGCTGATTGGTTAGTTGCGGAGGAAAGAGCGCAGAATCAAAGGAGGGTCCCAAAGGTCTTTCCTTGGGAAACTGGATGGGTGTCGTTGCGTTTTCTGGTGGAGGGAACAGAACAGGAAGAGGAGCGGGCTGTCTGTGTGCACATATGATGTGCATGTCTGTGCATGTGTGTGTGTGTAGGTGGTGGCGGTACAATAAGGTGTCTGGGACACTCAAGAGGAGGTGTTCAAAGAGTAATTGGCTGTGTGCATCTGGAGCTAATTATTTTTTAATATATTTTTATTGGTTTCAGAGAGGAAGGAAGAGGGAGAGGGGGAGACAGAAACATCAATGATGAGAGAGAATCATTGATCAGCTGTCCCCTGCACACCCCCCACCGGGGATCAAGCCCGCAACCCAAGCATGTGCCCCTGACTGAAACCGAACCCAGGACCCTTTAGTCTGCAGGTCACGCTCTATCCACTGAGCCACACCAACCAGGGCTGGAGCCAATTATTAACATTTGAACATCATCAGAGCAGCGGTCGTTTATGCCGTCATAGTAGATGAAATAAAGAGAGGGATGTGTGGCGGGAGAAGAATGCCAGGAAAACGTGAACATTCAAGGGACAAAGGACAAGGATTCTGAGCTGCTGGGAGAGCAGGCAGAACAGCAGCACACACAGCATCCGGAAGCAAGGGGGGTGCATGTCATTGCGCTTGGAGCACCTGGAGGGTGTGCTGGGGCCTCAAACGCAGCCGAGCCCTGGCACTGACTGAGAGACCTGGTCAGAGCCCCGCACCAGCCAGCTGGACCGCCCACGAATCCCTTCCCCGTAGAAACCATGGATGCCCCGTATTAGTCCTCCAGGGCTGCCATACAGAATACCACAGGCTGGGTGCTTACTGCTCCGGCCCTGGAGGCTGGCAGTCCAAGGCCAAGGTGCTGGTGGGGCTGGTTTCTCCTGTGGCCTCTCGCCTGGGCTGCAGGGGGCCGTCTTGTCGCTGTATCCTCGCCGTCTTTCCTCCCTGACACACATCCCTGGTGTCTCTTCCTCCTCCTATAAGGACACCAGTCTTATTGGCTGAGGGCCCCACCCACATGACCTTATTTAACCTTAGTAACGTCTTCAGAGGCCCTGTCTCCAAATATAGTCACACTGGGGGTTGCGGCTTCACTATATAAATTTGGGAGGAGGACACAATTTAGCCCATGCCAGATTATAAATTATTGTTATCTTAAGCCACTCAGTATGGAGTGATTTGTTATTGTATCAAAAAAAATAACTAACACTTGCCCTGCCTGGTGTGGCTCAGTTGGTCGGAGTGTCGTCCCATACACCAAAAGGCGATGATTTGATTCCTTAGTCGGGGCACATACCCAGGTTGTGGGCTCAATCCCCAGTTGGGGTGCGTGCAGGAGGCAGCCAATCAAGGTCTCTCTCTCTCTCTCTCTCTCTCTCTCTCTCTCTCTCTCTCTCTCTCTCTCTCTCTCTCTCTCTCTCTCTCTCTCTCTCTCTCTCTCTCTCTCTCTCTCTCTCTCTCTCCCCCTCCCTCCCTCCTCCTCCCTCCCTCTCCCCTTTCCCCTCTCTAAGATCAATTAAAAATAATAATAACTAGCACTTGTTTCATCATGTATGTGGGGAGGTGATGTAACTCAATGAATTCATGAACTTTGGTTTTTTTTCTTAAACCTGACTCTTTCCACTGAATCCGTCTCCAAGATTCCTACTTTTCCCAGAATGACTATTTGGACGGAAATCACTAACCAATTTTTCGAGATTGTTATTTAGAATAATTACCTTTTTTAAAAACAGGGGAGCACTTTAAAAATCTAAAAATATTTTCAAACCACTTGACATTAAGGAGTAAATGCATGACTTTGCTTTTATATTCCTGTCTCACCATTGTAAATAGCAAGTTACAACCTAATAAGGCCCGGTGTGAAAACCATCTGCCCAGAAATGGCAAAGTAGCAGTCCCATACTCTGTGGCTCACAACAGATTAGATATTTTAAAAATAGTTTGGGGGGAATTCACATTGGGCCCAGGAGTGGGAGCGTCAGGGCTGGTGACCCTGACAGCCGGGCGCAGACAAGTGCTGCCTGCGTGGTGATGAGACAGGCAGAGGCGCTGCTCTCCCCGCGGTCGGGCCACAGTCTTGTAACTGGCATTCTCCCTGTTCCTGGCTGTTGGAGGCTTGGCTCAGTGATCGGAGAGAAGACAGAGCCCGAATCAGAGAGGGTCCTTGGCTCAGAGCTTGGCCCGTTGGAGCAGTGGCCTGCGTCTTCAGGTTCTTGTCTATTCTGTTCCCTGGGGTAGATGAGCTTCAAGGAAAGGAGGTTGGATCTTTCTGCCTCAAGATTTTATTATTTTTTGTTAATTGTCACCTGAGGATATTTTTCTCCATTGATTTTAGAGAGAGTGGAATGGAGGGAGAGTAGAAGAGAGAGCGATGGAGGGAGGGAGAGGAGAGGGAGAGAGAAACAGTGTGAAAGAGACACATCAATTGGTTGCCTCCTACATGCACCCTGACCAGGGCCGGGGATTGAACCTGCAACCCAGGTACGTGCCCTTGACTGGGAATCGAACCTGTGACCCTTCAGTGCACAGGCTGATGCTCACCACTGAGCAACACCAGCCAGGGCCAAGATTTTCTTTAAAACTTGATAAATGCCCCACGTCTGTCCCCTCCCAGGAAATCATTCCTTCAACAGTTTCCCAAGATCCGGTCGTGAGCCCAGCACTGTCCTGGGCTCTGGGCACTCGGTGGAAGTGGAGATACTCCCGCCCCCAGGAGGGTCCCGGCCGGAGGGAGGCCTGCAGAAGCAGGACCCCGGAGCTCGGGTGTCATGGTGCACCTCCCACCTCATCCCTTCCAGGTCACAGCCTAACAGAGGGGGTGTGCTTCTAAAGATCTGCAGGTCCCAGGGCCCTGCGCTTGGCATTGCTGAGATAATAGGGACACAAATGTGGGTGAAAATGACCATTTCCAGTGCTGAGCCATTTGCTGTCTTGCTCAGTGGAGCCAACACTTTTTGTGATTGAATCTGCCATGAGAACAGAGGCCGCGTTGGGGTTCATCTAGACCAGCGGTTCTCAACCTGTGGGTCGCGACCCCTTTGGCGGTCGAACGACCCTTTCACAGGGGTCGCCTAAGACCATCCTGCATATCAGATATTTCCATTACGATTCATCACAGTAGCAACATTACAGTTATGAAGTAGCCACGAAGATAATGTTATGGCTGGGTCACAACATGAGGAGCTGTATTTAAAGGGCCAGAAGGTTGAGGACCGCTGATCCTGACGTGCACCGCCCCCGCCCCCCCGCCCGAAGAGCAGCCCTGCCTCACCTGGGAGAGGCAGAGGTTATAATGCTGGTGTCCGCCCGCGCTGGGGTGGCCACAGGAGTTGACCCGGGTGATCTCCAGCAGCACCCCTCCCGGGAGGAGCTGCGCTGTGATGATCCTTTCCTCGCACTTGGGCTGGCGGTGTGAAAGCCATCGCTAAATATGTAACAGGCCGCGCGTCTCTGTCCCAGAAGCTGATCGTGACTTTGATACGCTGGGGCCGCGGGCAGCTCGCAGAGCCGCTGAGTGAGTGTGAGATGACAGTGTGGACGGAGGACGCAGACGGCTTTATCAGGGCTTCGGTGTGAAAGGGAGCTGGGAGTTGGGGCTGTAGCGGAGGGGGCCCAGCGGCTTTTCTCTTAAAAGGTGGGCGGGTGTGCGCTGATGAAAGGACTTACAAGTTCCAGAGCCTTTGGCCCCTCCCCACCCACACCTCCATCCTCTGAGGACTGTGGTGAGGATCAAGCCAGATCATCTGTGCAGAGTTACCCAAAGGCTCCATAGCTGGCAACACGAATGTCAGGATTGGGATCGAGGCGATTGAGCGCCAAAATCCATGTTCTGGGCATGGTTTCCAACCACTTCTGGCCTGGGCGTCTCAGCCTCTCCGGCGCACACGTATCCCCAGTTCAGGGGCCGGCACGCTCGGGCCTGTAGGTCAGAACGGCTCACCGTCCGTGCGTGGGATTAGAGTGTTATTAATACACAGCCACACGCGCCCGTTTTTGCACCCTCTGTGGCCGCTTTCCTGCGACGACAGCACGGGTGAGTGTTTGCAACAGAGACTGGATGGCCAAAAATAGTCACTACCTGGCCTTTTCTTCAGAAAAAATTTGCCAGCCCCTGATGCATCGGTGACATCCAATGAGTTGATAGGTCATCCCATGCAAAGTGGTAAAAGGAGACGGGTCCCCAAAAGGCAAGGGACAAGCCGTAGAGCTTTGTCCCACTGAGGACACGGAGCAGGGCCCACAGGAGGCCACAAGTGAGAGCAGTCGTCAGTCCTGTCCCCAAGAGGCCCAGGCACTGCACTGGCCGTAAAATTGGCCAAAGGTGAGGGCCGGAGGCTAAGCGTTCTCCCCACGCTCAGAGCTTGATAAAGCCACACAGTCCGCTTTCCGCTGGACTGGGGAAACGCGGAGCCATGTAAGTCCAAGGTGGACGGCCCTTCTTCCCCTTAACTCCTGTGAGTGAGGAGGGGAAGCGCATTAGACATAAGCCCCGGGAGGAGCGTCACAGACATCCCACAGCCTGCCCGGGTGCCGGCGTAGAGGAGAGAGTTGGTCAGACTTGCTTTTCATAGAGCGGTCAGTCCAGAGGCAGCTCGTGGTTGGAATTCATGGGGGAAAGACTGAGCGAGAAGCCTCGTAAAGGAAATCAACACCGGTCCCCTGCGAGATGACAGAGGGGTGAACTCAGGCCACAGAAGGGAAGATCCAGAGGAAGGGGTCCTGATGAACGGAGGTAAGAGATATCATAGGCTGAAGCGCAGACAGGGGCCATGTGGGAGGAGGAGTCTAGGTGACTCTGGTTTCTGGTGAGAAAGGATGGATGGATGGCAGTGTCCTTACATTAGGAAGGGGATGTAGACCTGGAGACGGATAAGTTCTATCCTGGGCACACTTTCTTTGACTCTTTTGGGACATCAAGGGCCTGGATATGTAAGCCTGGAGTAGAGAAGCAGAGAGTAGAAAAAATTATTCTCTTGGTCCATTTTGTTTCTTATATTAATTTGAGAGAGACAGACAGACATCAATCTGTTGTTCCACTTTTTTATGCATTCCTTGGTGGTTTCTTGTATGTGCTCTAACCAGGGATCGAACCTACAACGTTGGCATATCAGGATGATGCTCCAACCAACAGTGCTCTGGGGCCAGGTCCTCTTTGTCCATTTTATTTGCCATATATGAAGTCAAGGAAGTCAAGACTCTGAACACCTTTACTATGTCATTGCAGGCGCGGGGAAGGAAAAAGCATGGTTTCCCTAACAAGGACACCTCTGCACCAATACAGTTGTGTGAACATGCATGGGGGCGAGGGGGGAGGGGGCGGGCGGGGGCTGACCACTGGGTGGGAAGTCATTGTACCCACTCACGCATTCCAGTCAGGCTTGTCTTGATTTGCATTTAGATGGAAATTCTTTCGTCTCCGAACCTGGACTGCCCTCACTCACAGCCATTTAGAAAAGCATTAACTTGAGCTCGTGCAGTATCATTGGTACAACAGCGACACAAAACATAAAAGCAGTATTAATAGCGTTCCCTTAATGACTCGGTAGGACTTAGCCGCTGAAACGGTGGAAAAGTTTAGAACACGGCTGCTGGGTGTCTGTCTGGGAGTGGCGTGCATAACCTGTTAATGAGTGACCGCCCGAATTCCCCAGTGCCCGGGGAACCTGTTTCAAGGGGCTGTGTGGGTTACATGCTTTCCCCACGATTTGGGGGGGCTTGGCGTGGAACCCCAAACCAACGTTATTGTGGATCCTGATTAAGAATGGCATCTGGTCACTTGAGCTGGTAAAGAAGGGGTGTCTTTTATTCAGAAAGGGAACCCTAAGCAGGTGGCTCTAAGGAACCACACAGAGGACATTCTGACACGATTGCTACGCTCTGCCCGTTAAAAGACCATTGCATATACCGTGTTCATTCACACGTTGGTAAGCCTATTCAGTTATCTTGGTTTAGCCTGATTAAGTCGCTCCATTTATCTTCTTTGCATTTGATTTTAAAAGTTAGATTTATCTGGAGAATTATTTGATCACCTCCTGTAAAAATAGCGTTTCTCCAAGACGAAAGCATCCTGGAAATGGGCTATACAACGATGTGAATGCGCTCACTTCTGTTGATCTGTGCACTGAATGGCGGAGGAGGTAAATTAGCCCTGGCCGGTGGCTCGGTTAGTTGGGGCATCATCCCCTGCACCAGAAGGTGCCAGGTTTGATTCCCGGTCAGGGCACATCCCCGGGTTGTGTGTTCAATCCCTGGTCCTGTGGAGGTAACCGATGACGTATACTTCTTTTTATATGTCACCATATGTCTCACCTTTTCTTGGCTCTAGTTGCCTAGTTCCCACTCTGAAACCTCAGAGACAAGTGGAATTAGAAAGCCAGCCCCCCGCTCTCCCTCCCTCCTCCCTTCCTCTCTCCAAAACCAACAAAAAAATAAATAAGTCATCTTGTAACAATATGTCCCTCACTAATGTGTTTGGGACAATCCTATTTTATAGTGTTTCTGTGTGTGTTCTCGACCTAATACTGACTTAGATCAGGTACATTTGATGGCAAGTAACTTATGAAAATGTCATTTTGAGTCTTAAAGTGATCTTCAGTGGATTTGGAGAAGGCAGAGGACAACAGGCTTTGGGGCCTATGGAACAAATGTACCCACCGTTCTTTGAAAATAGTTTATTATTCTTTCTTTACAAACAAAAACAAGCATTCAGCACATTGATTTCCTACAGCAAATGCAGGTTCTTTGACTTTCCAACACGAGCAGCTGGTCTCTCCTGCCTGGTTGCCAAGTGATGAAATTAGGGACTCAATTAAAATCCATTTAGTTGAGCCCTGGCCAGTGGCTCAGTGGTTAGAGTGTCATCCTGTACACCGAAGGGTCGAAGGGTCAATTCCCAATTAAGGCACATACCCAGGTTTCCGGTTCAACCCTCAGTTGGGGCACATGTGTGAGGCGACCGATAGATATTTCCCTCTCATATCAATGTTTCTCTCTTCATTTTCACGCCAGCCCTGCACGGGAGATATTATTATCTCCATTTTTCAGGTGAAGAATCAAGGGTTAGCCCTGCCAGTGTGGCTCAGTGGTTGATCGTCAACCTATGAACCAGGAGATCACGGTTCGATTCCCAGTCGGGGCACATGCCCAGGTTTTGGGGCATGCAGGAGGAAGCCGATCAGTGATTCTCTCTCATCACTGATGTTTCTATCTCTCCCTCTCCTTTCCTCTCTGAAATCAGTAATATATATTTTTTAATTTTTTTTAAAGAATCAAGGTTTAGAGAAATGCACTCATCTGCTGGAGACTTTGCCTAGTAAATGGTAGAGACATGGTTCGGATGGAGGCCGGCCCGTGAACCTCGTGTTCTTCTCATTTTGCGCCACACTGAGAAGAGCTATCATGTATGGGCACCGCCTGAGCAGAGGACAGTACCAGGCGCACAGCACACACCGGCCTGAGGCCCGGAGACCGCCGTGCCGGGCGCACAGACCCCCGTGGCCGAGCGGGACTCGGAGCCGGGGCCTGGGGGGCGGCGGAGCCTGAGCTCGCTCCCAGCCGCGCTGTTGGGTTGCGTCCCTTTTTCTCTGCTCTGGTCACACGCGCTGACTTTCAGATCTTACTAAAAAGCCGTGCAGCTGATGACACCCCTTGGAGATCTGTACCCCTGTTGGCTCTGGAATTCCGTGAGGTTACGTGAGTCAAAGTACAGATCCAATACAGTCACCTTCCTTTCCTCGGACAGGAGACGAGAGGCAGGTGTTGCCTTACTCACACGTGCTCTCCCAGACATTGGCCTCTACTCAGACCCTCTGAGTCAGCGGTTCTCAACCTTCCTCAGGCCGCGACCCTTTAATACAGTTCCTCATGTTGTGGTGAAAATTATTTCACCACAACCCGACCATAAAATTATTTTCGTTGCTACTTCATAACTGTAATGTTGCTACTGTTATGAATCATAATGTAAATATCTGATATGCAGGATGTATTTCCATTGTTACAATTGAACATAATTAAAGCATAGTGATTAATCACAAAAACAATACGTAATTATATATGTGTTTTCCGATGGTCTTAGGCGACCCCTGTGAAAGGGTCGTTCGACCCCCAAAGGGGTCCCGACCCACAGGTTGAGAACCGCTGCTCTAAGTGGATCCGATCCTGCAAAGATCTGGGCCGAGCGAAATACACTGTTGGACTGAGATTCTTGCATAGGAAATGGACTGTGGGTTTGCTCATTGTCCTGAAGCGTAGCTTGTGTTGTCATCCTCTTTAAACGTTTGGTTATTTCCAGTTTTTCTTGACTCACCAGACACATGTGTTATTTCTCTACGGCCATGAGGAGCAAAGCTGCTTTAACTTCTTTAACTTAACCACCAAGCACGCAGTTGCTGAGGTGGCAGGTTTAGACGGAGTTTTCAATTGTCATGGCTTATTCACTGACACAATTGCCCACGGAAACAATACATTGGCAGAAAATTAAATTACCTGTTGGTGTGACTCAATGGTTGAGTGTCGACCCATGCACCAAGAGGTCACCAGTTCACTTCCCAGTCAGGGCACATCCCCAGGTGCAGGCTTGATCCCCAGTAGGGGGCATGCAGGATGCAGCCAATCAATGTTGATGTTTTTCTCTCCTAGATGTTTCTATCTCACTGTCCCTCTCTCTCTAAAATCAATTTCTATAAAACATTTCTTTTTCAGAGAGGAAGGGAGAGCGTGAGAGGGATAGAAACATCAATGAGGAGAGAAAATCATTGATCAGCTGCCTCCTGCACACCCCCTACTGGGGACTGAGCCCGCAACCTGGGCATGTGCCCTGACCGGGAATGGAATTGTGACCTCCTGGTTCATAGGTCGATGCTCAACCACTGAGCCATGCTGGCCAGGCAAAAAAAAACCCACATATTTTTTTAAAAATTACCTGTTCACCTATTTGAGCAATACCTGGAATTTGGGCAACTCTCCCAGGTTAAATTTGGGAATAATTTCATTTTTAAGGGTAAATTCAGCAACAGCAGTAACACATCCCGAGCTTCTCCGACGTGCCTCCTCCTTGTTTGTCTCAGCGTCCTGTCCCCGGCACTGCCTCAGGTATCAGACAGGACAGGAGGAGTTAGGGAGAAAATCGCTAACCAATGCCCAGCAGCCTGCCCCTTCACGCTAAAGCACCTGCAGTGAGTTCCTTCCCACGCAACCCTTCATAATCGTTAAGCTTCTAAAACCTAAAATTTGGCACTTACCCAGTTTCCTCGATGTCTGTCCTGTGTCTGCTGCCCTGTTCTCCTGGCTGCTCTGAGCCTATGTCACCTCATTTGTAAAGCACCTTCCAGCAACCTGAAAACAGGCACAATAAGGGGTTGGTCTGGGTTAGGGCAGGGAGGGGAGAGAAAAAGTCCTGAGTTGCTAGGCATCATGAAGCTTTAAAGAAAATAATCTACCCTGACCAGTGTGGTTCAGTGGTTAGAGTGTTGGCCCATACACCAAAAGGTCGAGGGTTCGATTTCCAATTAAGGGCATGTACCTCGGTTGTGGGTTTGATCCCTGGCCCCGGCTGGGGCTCGTATGGGAGGCAACCAATCGATGTGTCTCTCTCACATCAATGTTTTTTTCTCTCCCTCTCTCCCTTCCACTCTCTCTCTAAAAAAAAAAAAAAAAAATTAATGGAAGAAATATCCTTGGGTGAGGACAAAATAAAAATGAACAAAATAAAAATTTAAAAATCTTGTAATAGACTGTTTAAAACAAAACAAACTCTGTACACTATTTAGGACTGCTACAGGAAAACAGTACTACGGAACGGAATTTTTCAGGAAAACAGTACTAATCGGAACGAAACTTCCAAGTTGGACTCTTTCCAGGAGAGTCATAAACAGAATAGACCACCGAGACGAAGCCACTATTTCTGGGACCCAGGCGATGAAAGGTGTGGGCAGGGCCTCTGAGGACGGAGCAGTGCCTTCAGGAGCTCTTGGGCGCGTTCACAGCCGCACAGGCGGCGGCTGGGACCCCGTCGTCTGCCTGCACTGGCTTTTCTCTGCTTCCATCAGGACTCCGTTGCTTGGTGTAAAGGCTCCTTTCGGTGCTTGTTTCTAAATATTACTCTGGTCTGTTTCCTCTTTACTTCCTAGCTCACGGAAATACCACGTTCAAGCCAGTTTTA